TGCAATCCTGGTGGCCACCAGCCCTCCTCCCACCCTGCTCAGCCGAGCATAGCTCCCCACGACAGGGGATGAAGTCTCGGTGCTTCTAAATGCCTGGAGGTATAACAAGCACTGAAGAGGAGTCGATCAGGGTGTTACGTATCCGACCAGCCTACAATCTCACTTTCTCCCCGGGCAGGGTGAGGAGGGCAAAGGCTGCAGTAGCTGACTGTCACTCCAATGCTGGCTCGCTGCACGTGCACTGCCATTTATGACCACTTGTCCAGCACCCGGATCAAGATTTATTTCACCAGTTTGGATGGCACCTGGGTGAGTGGTGAGGTCAGTTGTGATATATTTTAAACCCTGGAGCCTGGAACCATGATGCAATCTCCTCTGAAGATGGTACAAGCCAGGTGAAAATTCATTCACAGCCCTGTGAAAATGGATGTATTTGGCTGGTGGAAAACTTAGCTCTTTCTGCTATGGAATGGTTTGAAAACATTCACCATATTCAGGGATGCTCTTAAGTTCCTGCATGGACAGCACCCACAAATTCACCATAGACACTCATTTTTCCCAGAGAAACTTTCACGGTGTGTTCAGAGACAACATCCAAGAGCAAAAACCTTAAATCCCAGGCCACTCTGCTTTTTTTCAATGCCCTATTTGACAATAAACTCAGAGGAGTGAATTTTTCCAGCCTTGGCACTGGATTTCAGGTGATGGCATGGCAGATTTGTTCGGACTGAATGTCTGCGCCTGCGGTTCCTGAAAACTCACACAAATAAATGCATATCCCCAAGTATGCACGCTGAAGTACTCTGCAATCCACACAGAGCTAAAGGCTTCCTGCTGCAGCTGGAAAAGGACTGTCTTGATTTTCTAGTGACCATTGTGTTATGTTTAGTCGATCAGGTGAGCACGGGTTACAGCAACCACTCACTTTCTGTTTATAATGCACTGGACACTGTTCTTTCGTCGGAGCAATTTTAATCTTTGCAAAGCTGCTTCTGTTTGTGAACTGCGCTCCTATACAGCACCTTCTCTGAGCAGTCATCAGCACCGGTCTGAAATGTTTGGATAGTTTGAAATAAATTTCATCAGAAAAACCACAGGTTTCTATAAAGGAGTACAATTGTCCTGTGTTTTCTGGTATGGAGCCTCTCAGAACAGCTTCGCCTTTCTCCAGGACAGGATTAATACATGTACTGTTGCTAAGTGTCCGATATTTATGTTCCATTAAGTTCAAAACAGAATTTATTTCTATTCAGCATCAACCACTGCAGCCTCAGATTCACCCATGAGCTTTGCCTCCCCCTTTCTCGCAGCTCTTCACCCCATCGCATGGCTGAGACCACCGTCCAGATTGCAGAATACCCCACTTTCAATCCCATTTGTTAAGTCCCAGGGGCATCAGAAAGTCAAAAAGAACCTGTAAAATATCTCCCACAAACTCTATGACTAAGACCACTGGTCAGATCCAGAAATTGAGCAAGCGTGCTATCTGCCTGCACTTATTCTTCAGTGTGGTTGCATTTACATCACTCAAATCCAGAATCTGGCTACACCTTTGCATGGTCCTTTGCAAGTTCTGTGCTTTCACGGTGGTCTCAGAGTTGGAAACCCCCTTCCTGCTACCATCACTGGGACCTTTTCCTTGCCTGTGATATGGCAATGGTAATTTCTCTGCAGCCTTTGAACAGAGAAGCACCTGGGCAAGCCTGTGAAACACTCCTCAGGTGCATTTTATTCCTCTTCCCATCCACTGAAATATTTACACATCAAAGGGAGCATTCTTATCTAGTGGGGTTTTGATGTTCATTAAAGCAACACATGGGCAGTAATAAAGAGCCATGCCCTGCAGCACGGGGGTTGTCAGCAGGCGTTGATCTCCAAGGCACATGGGGGGGGGGGGGGGGGGGGGGGGGGTGACAAGGGCTCTTTGCCCTGGCTGCTGTCCTGAGAAGGTGGCAAAGGAAAGGCCCACTGTGCAGGATGCTCCGCACCAGTGCACAAGGCCAGGAGACCTGGTACCTCCCTTAAAAGCTCTCCTGGTTCTGGGCCTTCATCTCTTCCAAATCAGCTGGGCTTTGAAGTCTTTAAAGCAACCTGGCATCTTCTGAATAAGAGGCCAAAAGAATCTAGCTCACAGAAAGTGCCTAGGCTGCAGGTAACGACTGAGCAGTGTTGCATGGGCATGTTGGAAAGGGCCAAGGGGCCCCCTCTCCTGGTGAGTACCCATTTCCATATTCAGTCTGTTCACACTCATCATCTCCTCAGTCGCAGAAGCTGTAAAATAAACACCCCTTCTGCCCTGCTGTGCTGTTATTATCTCCACAGGCAGCCCACACTGTGCTTCCCTTCGGGGTGACTCGCTCCAGATGTGTCTGCATCTGCCTCCCCTCTGGCATGGGGCTCCCACCCATCACCCTGTGGACACCCTAGTCCCAACGCATCCTGTGGACACGATCCTATGCTGTAACTGCTGCAAACGGCCTGCCATTCATTCTCTCTGCATATACCTCCCTTTCTGTTGGTAAGTCAGGATGTTCCCCTCTGCTCTCCCTGCTACGATGGAGACAGTGGCTTGAACCTGCTGCAGAAGCAGGTGGACATGGCCTACAACTCCTCACCCAGGCCAGGAGAGGCATCAAGGCAGTCATGTTGCAGGCAGAAAGTGGGAAGTGAAAGGGAGGAGGGAGCAGACCCAGGGGAGAGCATCTCCAGGGGTGCTGGGCCCAAGTGGCTAGCAACCTTCACTGCTGCTAGCAGGATGAGGAGCAGAGCGACTGGAGGATCTGCCTTCCCAAACATCTACTTGACTCACCTAACCTGCCCTTATTACAGGGCCAGAAAAACCTGTCTGAAGTCAGGTGCTGGGAGGGGACATCATAGGGCAGAGGAGCACCTCACATCACCCAGAGCACACGGGACCCACATGAAGGGCCCGGGAAATCATACTATGGCATCTCACAGGGGTCTTCCAGCTCCTGTCAGGCACTCGCCACACCACCTGGCCATCACGGCTACTCTGACAAGAGCTGCAGGGTGTCTGAGCCTGCCAGCAGCACCACCAGCCCTGGCACCAGGAGCATCTCGGCCAGGGATGCTCCCCGGGCTGCAGGTGTGCACACCAGCCAGGGCGCCCCCGTGACCCCTGCAGAAATCTGGGACCATGCCCATCCCACGGGCTTCTGTTGAACCCCTTGGTGTTTCTTCTTGTGGAGGGGGAATAACACATCTGAGGCCCAAAAATATGATATTCCCATGGACCCACGTGGCTCTGGCCAGCCAGCCATGGCCCTCTAACCTCTCATTCCCCTTAGCCTTTCAATTAGCTCTTGCCTTCCTGATGACTTCACTCAACACCCAGAGCGATTAGAAGCCAGAGGAAGGCCTTGGCTTTGTCTCGAACGATGAGCCAGATTAATCAGCTCCAGTTGCACTGAATTACCCAGTCGGGGCTCACAGCAACAACCTCCAATTCACCGGCAAAGCAGCCAGCATCCCGCTTTCAACTGGGATAATCAGCAAGGACGTGAAAGCCAGATGAATGACTAGGTAAGGGTGGGCTGCCGCCTGTCAGGAGCTGGAATATAAGTCAAAGCACTTTGAAATTAAATCCTCACTTTGACGGGGAACTAATGCAGAGATTTTAAAGTAGGTGTAATACACTTAGACAGGCATGTGTGCAGCCTGGTGCAAGTTGCCGTGCTTTGAATAAGTGTGTCCTGGCTACACTGAGAGCAGGAAAGTGGAGTTGAAAAGACAAAGGGAATTTTGAATAGCTCCAAACCAGCTTGGCAAGATTTTAGAGATGGTAGCAAGAGGTTTTAGTAATGGACCTAACTAACAACATTGTCGGGAGATTTGGTGCATGGTTGTTGGCTGCCTAGGATCTTGGATTTCACACCAAGCAGCCATCTCATGTCACTCCCAGCTTTAAATTAAGTCATTTGTGCCCACATGGACTGCAGGGGGTAGCTGGAGGCACGGTGGATGGGAGAGGAGAGGAGAGAGGGATGCCCACTGCGCCTCTTGGCCTCCAGGGTGGGCAAGCCATGCTGCCAGTAGCTCCTGGGATTTGCCAGAGCTGACCTTTCTAGACAACTTCAGAGGTAGATTTAAGCCTCGATACTTGCTCAGGCATCACCCCCCACATGCACAGCCCGGAACCCATCACCAGGGCACTGGGGCTGACGGCTGTGGGCACACCAAGAGGGTTTGCAACCTCATCCCTGCCACCGGCTCCGGCTGCTATTCCCTCCCGATAGAAATCCCCCAGACCTCTCCCCTTGTTTGAGAATTTCCCAACAGCAACATTTACCATTTGTGTTGAATCCTCAGGAACTGGGATTTGGTAAATCCCTCCTGATCGGAGGGGTGGTGGTGAACGGGGAGGGCAGTCTTGGAGATGCCTAGGCTGCTGCCAGCAATAGGGAAACCCGAGGCAGCGCCAAGGCCTGTCCTGAGGGCTCTGCTTTTTCACAGCCACGCAGAAATTATCCTAAAAGCATCAAATGCGCGAGAGAGATTAAAAAAAAAAAAAAAAATAAATAAAATAAAAAAAAAATATTAAAAAAACAAAACAAAAAAAAAACCACAAAAACACAAAAACAAAAAAACACAAAAAACAAAACCCAAACCTCCTTCTGTCTTCGAGGTGCCCCCGTTTCTCCCTGCCCCTCCAGGGACAAGCAAACCCCGCCGTGCTCCAACCCCACGGCACCCACCCAACCCCGCCCAGGGAGCCCGGGGGGCGCTGCGGGGGGGCCGCAGCGGGGCAGGGGCAGCCGGCGGAGCCCCCCCCGGCGCCCTCCCCGCCGCCGGCCCGCCCTCCGGGGGTGTCCCCGGCGGCGGGTCCCGCCCAGGTGGCGCCGGCGCTGGGGCGGCCCCCGGCGCTGCCCCCGCCCCCGGCCCGCCCCCGGCCCGCCGCTCCATCCCGGGATGGGCCGGCCGAGCTGACAGTCGGGCTCGGCGGCCGCCGCGGGCGCATCCACCGGGCAGCGCCCGCCGCCGCCCCCGCTCCTGCCCGGCGCCCACCTGCGGTGGCGGCTGCCCCGGGCCGGGGGGCGGGGGGGGGGCGCTGCCGCCGCCGCCGGCTTCGCTCGCTCTGCCCCCGGCTGCCCTCCAGGATGAGCCCGGAGTATTTCCTGCGCTCCTTGCTGCTCATCCTTCTCGCCACCTTCTCGGCCAACGCCAGCAACTGGCTGTGAGTAGCCGCGGGGTTTGAAGTGGGGGGGTGGGGGGGGACGGGGACACGGGACACGGCCACCACTTGTTGCTGCCCCCCCCCCCGGGGGTGGCGGAGCAGGTGCCACCACCGGGGTGCAACCCCCCCCCTCCCCCCGCAACGATGCTGCTCGGCACCCGGTGGGGCAGCGTGCTCCCGTCCCTGCTGCACCAGGTACCCCCTGACACCCAACCACCCCCCCCCCCCCCAAAGAGGTGACGGTGGGGGGGGTCACAGCCTGCACTCCCGGGCAGGTGGGCTGCAGGGGGTGCCCCCCCCCCCCCCCCCCAACCCAGCCACTCAGATCCGGTGTGTTATTGAGGCTGGTCGGACAGGAGCTGGTTGATGAGCCCCCCCCCCCCCCCATCCCCTTTTTGTCCTTTAAGTTGTGAAGCCAGACCACACCGGGGAAGGATGGAGGTTGGGGCATCAGAGCGGGGCCCGGGCGTTGGGGAGGCGCTGCGCGAGGGCCAGCGGTCCAGGGATGGATTTGGCAGGGCTGGGGCGGCCGAGCGTGCCGGCCCCAGGGCTCTGTGGTGGGCAGGGCTGCCCATGCCTCAGCCCCCCCATTCCCCGTGGGAGAACGGGTGGCGGGGGGCTGTTGCATGCCACAGAGGAGCCTGGTGACATTGAGAACCCGCTGAACAAACACTGAAATAATGTGTAAGGTAAACAGGGGCGGAAATCATTCTGGAAAATTCCTGAGTGTTTGCCAAGGCGGTGGGACCGTCTTCTGGGGAGACCCCCCTAGGGCAGTGGGGATAGAGCCTGACAGCACCTTCCCACCTAACTTTGAACAAAGGCACCAGTTCTTCTTAAGGTACTCTGGTGGGAGATGGCACTTCCAACGTTGCTGGCTGCCATGAACTAATTAGTTCCCAGTGTGTGCACCCAGCAGACCCGCTCTCAGTCTGGGAACACGGGCTGCCTCCATCTCACCTCCCTGAGTCCCCACCGGCAAGGGCAGGTATGCCACGGCCGGGCAGGGAGCCCCTGGGGCTGCCAGCATGAAAGATCCCGAGTGGCTTGTGCCTCTCCCAACACCTGTGCTCAGGTGAGCGCGGTCCCCAAAACACATCCCCTATGCGAGGTGTCCTCTCCGCATCCGGCTCCCGTCTCTCCTGCCTTTAGATTTGGCTCACTGGAGGCTGCGGGACATGAGCGGGTTTTGGAGGATGCTCCCTACGCCCAGGGACAGCGCCAGGTCAGCAGCATTCTCCAAGTGTCCTGCCCATGGGAAAAGGTGCTCGCCCATCAGTAGCTGCCTGGGATGCGTTAGCACTTAATCCTCCTCCCCTCCTCCTTTGCCAGATGGAGCAACTTGCGCACCACGCGTCTCCGGCAAGTGGTGGGTGGATCATAGCAGCTATCAAGGTGGTCTTTTAAGCTGTCACGCTTTTGGTGAAGGTATATTGGGAACTGTGGGAGTGTTTTTCCTGCAGGAAGAAAGTCCTGCTGAGGAAGCCCTGTGGGACGATGGCAGGTCCCCAGGGAGGAGCAGCCTCAGCTGCCCCGGGACGGGCACAGGGATGTGCCTGGCAAAGGGGGATTTCACTAGCGAGGGCGACGAGCTGCCCGGTGCGGATGCACAGAAATGGGACACCACCCCCACCCCCCCCCCCCGCCCCGGTCCCCAGCGCCACACGCAGCTGAGATGGTATTTGGGAAGCTGAGGCGGAGGGGTGGTTCGCCGCAATAGACGGGGAGGGCTGTGTGCAGCCGTCCGTGCTGGCGAAGCAAGGGGTGGGCGCGGGGGGCTCGGTGGCGGGAGAGCGGAGGGCTCATTCCTGCCAACAGGGGAGGAAAAGCAGATACATTTCAGTGCATTTGAAAGGAAGGGGTTCAACTTTTTTTGATGTTACAAATGTATCGTGATAAAAGGATCATCCCCCGCTCGGTGCTCTTTATTCTTTGCCTTTAGGATTAAGACAATTCCCATTGTTTATCTTCTCACATCAGAAACAAAGGCTGCCGGAGGCAATAAACAGAGTTAGAAGGATCCCAGGAGTTATCAGTTATTCGAGGAATGAGTGTGCCTCGTACATCTTCACGAAGCCACACGTGTGTGGGCTCCGCTGTGCTCGGCTCTGTCACAGAGCCGCCCGGGTGCTGCCAGCCCGCGCCCGGCACACCACGGCCGGATCCAGCCGTGCTGGGCGCATATTTTTGCGCATAGGTGTGTGCGCTGGGTGGCAGCCGTGAAGTTTGCTTTTCCAGAAACCTGCTGGATTAGTGATTAAGCTCAGTTGTGATTTTTTTTTTTTTTTTTTTTTTTTTTTTTTTTCCCCTAAAGCTTCTTTCGACCTGTCCAGACTCGCATTCCCCCAGTGCTTTGGAGAGACGCTGCTTGCGACACTTGAGCTGAAGGTTTTCTGTAAGCCTGGCTTTGCGGGGAAGGGCTCGTTTTGGCCACGCAAATGGTGTCCTCTGAGCCTCCCCATCCCACGTAAAAGGGAGACAGTTGTAGCTATCTCTCGGGATCGCTCTGCTACAGCGACCACTGAGCTGAAAGGGACTTTGCCAAATCTTTTCATTAAACAGACCGAGCTACTTTCCCTTTGGTTAGGAAGCAGACCTCAGGTGTGTTTTCTCAGTGTCTGAGTTTTGGGAGTCACTGCTTGGCTTGCCGCCTATCCAGAAAACCTCTGTTCTCCAAATCTTAAGAGATGCTCTCTTCCTCCTTCTCATGAAAGCCTCAGGCTTGCTTTTCCTCCTGCCTTTGGAGTCTCAGCGAGTTTTAAAGCTTTTCCTCCTGCCTATTCAGGCACAGAATTGTAAAATTAAATGGAGGGCTATAGTTAGGGCCATCTACGTGTAGCTGGTTATGCGTGGGAAGGTCCCTCCAGCTTCTGCTTTATCTCTGGAGGAGTCCAGGGACGTGCTTTATACTGGGGAAACAGGCGAGTTACTATCCGACGCAACTCACATTTCATAGACTCAGTTCAGCTCCTGAACCTGCACATGCAGTAGTGTGGTTGAATTTGGAAGCATGTTCTCTCAGTGGTCCAAAACCATCCCGATGCTGGGAATGTTTTGTAGAGGGTTTCAGCCAAAAGAGTACCTCCTGGCATGGAAGCACAGAGCTCCAGTTTCAGTGGGAGGTAAGGGATGAGCAGTCATTTAGTTATTTAGTTATTAATTTTTTTTTTTCCATTTTGGAGGGAGGGAAGTTCACCTGAAGAGGTGAACTAGAAAATGTGCAAAGTGGGGTGTGGATGTAAGCATCCCTTAACCACACTTGGCACTGGGGCTGCTGTGATGTGTAGCCATTTGGGTGGTTTGAATGAGGAGAGTCAAACCTTGTGCCCGGAAAACATTGGATACAACACGGCAGGATCCCTTTGTGGGTGAGACCGGTGGTTATCAAGCTATCTGGTAATCATTACCGCCACTCTCCATTTTCTTGCAGCTAAAACTGCCTTTGGAGGAGGCTCTCCGTATGTACGCTGGATAGTCTGAGATGCGGTTATGCCGCTGCAGAGCAGGGTGTGCCACCAGCAGCTCCATCTACCCCCTATTTACAGGGGTTTAAAGCTTCAGCCTCGGCTTAAGACTTGGCTTAAAGGGCCAGGAGCACAGATGGGCTTTTAAATGCTTTAAAAAAATTGAATTTGAGCACTCTGGGAAAGTTTGAAGATCTTGCAAGTGTCCGAACAAGCCTGGCTAAGCAGCTGCTCCCTAACAGTAACCACTTTCAAGGGCTGGAGAGGGAGGGATAAAAGGAGTTGGGGTTTCTCTGCCCCCCTTTCATCTGAACATCACAAGGTGCTTTGCAGACGTGGGACCTGATTCTCCATGCTCATCCCTGCCAGCTTTGCGGTGGGGGTTGTTGCAAGAGCAGCCTGAATGCTCATTTTATGCTGGTTGGGTCGCTGTACAACGTAGAGGGTTTGGGAAGAAGCATGTCTGGGTCCTACGCTTGCATCCCTCTGCTTTTAAACCAGACTTGATTTTCTTAAGGTGCATCTCCCTAGCTTTGGTAGCAGGGAGAGAGCTTGTTTCACTTTGAGCCTGGGTTGGTTTAATTTTGCGTAAGATTCTTTGCATTGTCGTTGCGACCTTCCCGTTTTCCACCTGGCAGGGAACCGGTCCAGCATTTTCCTGGCGGATGCCGTGCTGCCGCAGCGCTGGCCGGGCAGGTGCAGCTGGCTCCAGGGCAGAGCTGCTCCTGCCGGGCCCCGCTCCCCTCCCCGCGCTCCCCTCTTTGATGCAAACACAGTGTCAGGGGAGGTTCCCTGGCCACGTCTGCTCCGGCAGCCAGGACGGGGGGTTGCACCCCTTGGGTTTGGAGAATTTCCTTTGCTCTGTGCCTTAGACAAGCGGCTCTTCGCTTCTGGGGTGCCCAGGGCTCCTTTGCATTGCTCTGGGGATCCTGCTGGGTCCACAGGGCTGGTGCATGCAACCAGTGACACCCATTCCCCAAGGGTGCAAGGCAGGTGAGTGAAACCAGCAGCCTGCACTGGAAATATATTTTAATTTTTATCTGTCTGTTTATAAGTCTTGCCACTTTTGACAAAAACAGTTAACTTTACCTCAGCAATGAGAATAGACTGGCTTTAAGGGTTGCATCCTGCAGACGCAAGGGGCCTCTGCCAGTCTTGGCACTGGACTTCCAACCAGTTTGGCTTGTCCCTGAGCTCTGGCCCTGTCTGGTGGGAAGACTTCAGGGCTGCGTTTGACAGGGTGTAGGAGGGACCCATGCTCTCTGCCTCTTCTGCAGTAACGGGCATTTCTGTCTTTTCCTGAGGAAGCCTCAAATAAAACTACACCCCAGTCTTTAGCAGCAGAGCCTTATTCTAGAGAGGATGGAAATGAGTGAGATAAAACCACCCTGTGCCCCAGGTTGTGCAGAATCAGATCATCTCCAAACATGAGCAACAGCAATAAGCAGATTTCTTTTTTGCAATAGTTTGCTATGACTCCATCAGTCAGAACTGGACTTTTGCATTGAAGCAAAAAAATGTTTATGTTACTCTGCT